TATGCACTTTTACATTTTAAATTAACAATGTAATAATTTTCATATTCTTAAAATTTAAAAAAATTAAAGTTTGGTATAACAACTTTTTGGTAATTTTTACTTTCAAATGCAAAGTTAATGACCATATTACCTTTACATTTCTAAAACATAAAATTGACAATTAGGGTCAATTGGGTATTTTCAATGCTTTTTGTTTGTTATTGTCAATTTGAGAGATAGTAAGATCTTTGAACATATATAAAAATAATTAAAAAATAAAACGTTGTTGGCATATATTAAGAGATGCCTGTGCTGTTTGAACGACATATATAACATTTCTCGATGTTCAAAAGTTACCTCTTAGCGTTGGATGTTATGTGTTATCCTCTATACCGTGGTATGATGTGTGTAAACAACAAATTTACAATTGATCATAGGTGAATGTTTTTTCTTTTTTTCTATTTTTTTTCTATTGAATGTTTTTTCTATTGCTCTCCACACCTCCATTTTCATGCAGGGCTTTCTAAAAATCAAACATGTCATCTAGTTATTGTTTATTTTAATTTTAGTTTTTATTCCTTTGATTGCTATTTATTTTTATTTTTAATTTTGTTTGAATTTTTTTTTCTAGTTTCGGCCCTAGATATTTAATTTAATTTAATTTAATTTATCCAATTTGGTCAAGAATTTTTTATTGATTTTTTAAATATTTTTTTGTTTCAATTTTATCCCCAAACATTTTATTTCATTTAATTTTTTCATTTAATTTTGATCCTTGTTCTTTTTATTATCTTTATTTATTTATTTTATTTTCTAATTTAATCCTTAATTATTTTTTTCTTTAATTTTTCTATCAATATTAGTCTCGTGACTTGAGTTACTAATTTGAAAGATTATTTCTATTTAAATTTTGTCTTTTTTAAAATCATTTTTAGTTATTTTTTCAACTTCATCATTGGATATTAGGCCTTGAGCTTCATTATTTGTTTCATTTTTTTATATGGGGTTATTCTAATATCCTATTTTTAGTTGCAAGGTAAGGGAGTTAACTTAGGTTTACTTGAGTTTTTTTTTTTAAATTTTATTCTTTAATATTAGGTTATTGATCTTGAACTTTGCTATTTTTTTTCTTTCCTTTATGTTAAGATATCTTGGGTTGCTGACTGGTAAAATTAATTTAGGTTGACTCAAGTTTTTTTTAACTGTTTTTTTAATTTAACTTCCATCTTCTTTTTTAGGTTTGTTTTCTTAAAAAAAAATATTTTTTAATCCCGATCTCATGTTGTGGGTTACGGTTAATCAAGTTAACTCGAGTTGACTCGGATTTTTTTTATATTTTTATTTTTTTAAAATTTTATTATTTGACATTAGATTATTTGTTCTTGAGATTTGTGAATTTTTTTCTTTCTTTATGTGGTTATAACAAATTTGTTGAGCTAATCTAAATTTATTTGGGTTTTTTAATCTTTTTTTAATTAATATAACTTCAATCCTTTTTCTAACAATTCAATTTTTTTTTTATCTCAATGTCATTATATGAATCGCTAGTTAGTTGAGATGACTATGATTTGAGTTGACTATGATTTTTTCATTTGTTATTGCAGTAAGGTCGGGTTTTTCAAGAAAATTGATTTTCTTCTTTAATTTTTTAATTTTTTACTGTGTTAACGTGTTGATGTTAAAATAAATTTTTTAAAATAAAAAATATTATTTAAAATAAAAACTTTAAAAAGTAACAATTTTAATAAGGTTTATGATTTTTTCTATTTTTTTATTAACATAACATTTGTTTTTATACCATGGACCTGTTTAAAATTGTGATTGGAGTTGTTATTTAAAATATTTTTTGTTTAAAAATATATAAAAATAATTTTTTTATTTTAAAAAAATTATATTTAAAAGTAACACATTAAAATAATCTAAAAACATAAAAAAATTAATTCTTAATAAAAAATTAATTTTTTTTTTAAATAGAGATGGCACTGCATTTATCAACTGTATTATAAATCTTGTTGCGACTTGGATATTGTTACTTGCAGCTGGCCCGAAAGTGTAGACGTGGCAATAGATTGTCGTGCCTTGCTGTATATTACGTGTCATTTTTTAAGGTACCTTTTCTTTGTATATCCATTGTGGGAGAGGCACCTGGAAGCCAGCAGAAACTTCCTTCCTGCTTCTGCCACTTTAAGGAAACACGACATCAACTCAAATTCTCCCCGAAGAGGTGGTTAAGGCGTCCAATCATAAAAGTTTTTTTCTTAAGCAGTACCGTCAGAAAATTTTATTAAGGGCCAAAAACCTATTTAAAAAAGCACAGTTGAAAATTTATTTAAAATAATAATAAGAATACAGTTTGCAGAGTTGTCACATGCAATTTCTTGAAGGGAAGGTGGATGCAATTTTATTATTTTTTAAATCTATTTTAAAATTTGAATTTAAGAAATAAATATAATATCACAGCTCCGATAAGTATAATATTAAATCCATTTTTAAATATAATATTTATTTATTTTTTAAAAATAATAGTTTGAAAATGAATAAATATTGATCTTAATAATACCTGGCCAGCAGGAAATCTTTATTCCTAATCATTTGGGCATTGGCAGACAAGTTGTAATTTGGCAGCCATGGAAGATTGTCTGCCTACACACAGGAACTCGGATTTAACAGCCAACACAACACGAATCTGATGTGAAGAGAAATCATTGTTTGTATTCATGTAAGTGGTTGATATTTTTGCAGTTTTACACTCAGCAATTCCCCACCACCATCAGAAAATATTGAGTTTTGATGGGGTTAAAGCTTGCAAGCAATTGGAAAGCTACTATGGATAAAAATGCTTTCCTTCATCTTTCTTGTACCAAGCAAAGACCGACCCACAAGATAAAGCCATCAAGAGTATGGCAGCCTGTTCTTCCTCTCCCAGTTTTCTCTTCCAGTCTTCCTGAAACATCCCATCTCTCATAAACCCCATCAAATCTAGATTCAATGAAACTCCTAGCTTGCTACTATTGCTACCCTTAGCCATATTCTCTCTGCTGCGCTCCGGTCCTCCTCTGTCCAAGCCTAGAAGAGCCCTCCTCTTCTTTCTCTGTCTGATCCCACAAGCATTGCACAGTGACTGCAAACAAGATTAGATATCATTAATAAAGCTAGTCAGAATCACAATACAGAAACTTAATACTTGATAAAGAAGATGATTATTGTAAAACGAATAATCATACACACACCCTGGGACCAGCTGGGCCACCTCGCCAACATGGGGTTCTTGTTGTTTGGCAATCCGTGCATCTTCTTTTGATCTCATTACACTTGCTTGGATGAGTATTATCCATGTCCTCTGACTCTGGTCCCTGTTTAAATAAACCGATGGCATTGAGTAAGAAGTAAACAGGGTAACAGTCATCACCAAAATTAAGCAAAGAAAAAGATGAGGCATGCAAGAAGAATAAGATCACTCACTTTTGTGCGCAAATCCATGATCTTTACAAAAAGGTTATTCCAGGGACTGAAGGCAAGGACTTCAAAGTAAGTGAACTTGAACAGACATGAGAAAAAGATAGAAGAGAGATGGGTGCCTCAATTCAAAGAGACCTAAAGCGAGGGGAGCAACAACATTCTCATCAGGAATTGAAGGAGAGATATAAATGCAGAGACGTGTGTTACTAGAAAAGGATGAGTGGAAACAGAGGAATAGGAATAGAGGTTGGTAGATATAGTAACAGCTGCCACTTTCAGGAATCTAGGCGGCTAGTTTTGTTTTTTGTTTTTGTTTTTGTTTTTTTAAAGAGGTTTGGAACCCTAATTCGAATCTTCCTTAATTGACGAAAATACCCTTTTTTTTTTTTTTTTTTTTAAGGGGTTTGCTTTGTTTTTTGTTTTTGTTTTTGTTTTTTTAAAGAGGTTTGGCAACCCACTACTGGTTCTCATGTCAATTCTAGGATTTTTTTTTCTAGTAACCTAACCCACTACTGGTTCTCATGTCAATTCTGGGATTATTTTTTCTCTTTTTAATTTGGTTAGAGGTATGAATCTGAGGAAGATCTCTATGGCAAAAAAAAACAGGGGTTATATTTTGTTTTATTTTCCATTAAAATAAAGATTTAACTCTAACAAGAATGGGATCCTTGTACATTGACCGCACAATTTTCTTGTCGGACCCCATGCAAGAGATTGTTCGAAGCCCGAAACATAGGCCACACAATCTAATCTGTGCATATATATGGTAAATGGATGATGACAGGTTATGTATTTCTGGAGTATGGCCTAAATGATATTCATGAAAATTTATTTATTTTTATTTAAATTAATTTTTTAGATTATTTTAATATTCTGATATTAAAAACAATATTTTTAAATAAAAAATACTTTAAGAATCAAGAGGAGAGGAAGCTTTTGTCTCTTGAGAGTTGTGAATGAGCAATGAACAAGAAATGAAGTTATGGCAAGGCAGGTGGTAGCAATTAAAAAAAGAGAAAAAGATGCAAGAAGAGACAAAACACAGCCCACAGATTCTGGAGCAGACACAGACAGCCAACCATGCCTAGGAGCTTTCTGGTCCCCAGCCGCATAAAAGGAAAGGAACATCCTGTAAGCTAATAACACTGCACTAATCTAAACTCTAAACTCCAAACAGAGCCAAGTAGTGACTATAAACTAGTAATGCTGGTGCTTTTTGCTGATTTTCCTCCATCATGGATGCCTGAATAATCTCTGGCTTTACCAATAATTACTGTATGATTGAGCCATGAGACTCAACTCCACTCGTGGCATAAAAAAAGGACCGACTTTTGAAGCATCGAGAGCTCACCACCAATGCAAGGGGTCGTAGAGAGCTGCATGTTCCTCCATAACACGGAAACATGTCTGGAACTGTTCAGAGATAAGAATTTAATAAGGTGTGTAGCATAGATTAGCAGGATATGCAGACTCTCCAAGGCAGATTTTAGCAAGCTCATCAGGGGCACGTTCTTTTGAGATTCAAATTGCGTGGACTGTCTTTTGGAATGCAAGAGTAAAAACACTAGATAATGGCTGCAAAATGAAATCAATGGATTTCACTACTCCAGCCTTGGGGCATTATTAATTCAACTGTTCCAGCGTTGGCATTATTTACATCAAATCAATAAGTCAGACCATCTAAAGTCTAATGGAGAGAGTCTTTAGTGCAAATAAAACATGAACAATACTAGATATGCGGAGCAAATTATCAGACGCTTCTTCCATTCAGTGCTTCAACTTATCCCTCCGTCCAAGTTTAGAGCAAAGATCAGCAAGGAAAGCGAAGAGAGCACCCGTTAGGCACATTAACCATGAAAATAGAAACACTGCCCAGTCCTGGAGGTTTTTCTTCGGAAAATGCCCTCTGTCTGAGATGAGCAATGCCCTATATACAGCTTCAGTTACGGCATAGGCTGTAACAGGATCAGATTCTTCTGCGAGGAATCCATATTCTGTGAGGCAAACAATGTCATACACCCCGTTTGTCTCTGATATTCCTAGACGCTCGCATAATCTGATCCTGATGTCGATCCGCTCTTCGGTTGTCAACAAGTCACCATGTGTCAGGATCAAGATAGGATTCTCATCTGTGAGCAAAATGGAGCCACCACAAAAAGTTCAAATTTACCATGAGTGTACGCACAACTAAATGAACCAGTCTCTGTGTCTATGGCAATGCTTTATTCATAACAGCATAGTTATGTTACACATGCATGATTAAAAAAAATAAAAATTCGAACAAGGGTAGGATCAGAAAAATAAATGCGATAAAGCTCTGATGCAAGCAGGCAGGAGCAAGGAAAACTGCAGAATGGATTGGAACTCTTCTGAGTCAAGACTCGTTGGGGGAGGGGGGGGGGATGATTGAAATATCTTGACTATCGACACCATCTGGAAATGATTTTTGCATATTCAAATAGGTAATGAATGGAACGGTATTCAACATCTGTCAGTCTACTCATGGTGACTTGTTGTACTGAAATAGAAGGAAAAAAAACAAAATTCTCTTTCTATTGTGATATATTATCGAGAGATTCGTCAAGAGACTCAAGATCCCCATCAGGTGCAGGAGTCAAAGTTTAGAGCCCATAAATAACCACAATATCTTTAGCAAGTCCAGTTGCTTCAAGTATATCGAGATCTCATCTATTTGCATTTGCTACCCAAGAAATCTTTAATATTAGATTAACAAGAACACCCTTGTTTTTACTTGATAATAATTTAAATATTTTAGGTAACTAGTCTATGTATACATATATATTTGTCAAGAAATCAATTTAAACACTTACATATATATATATATATATATATATTTCGATAACTTTAATCAATTTTATGAAGTTAAATCTATCATTTGATTCATTTCAATATTTCATTTTTAAACATAGATAATACTTGTGTTGATATTAAAAATCCATTATTAATAATATTTATTTTTAATCAAATACAAGAATCACATTCCATCAAAACATCTAATCATTCCTGCACCAAACACCCTCTGGAAGATGAAATTGATGGTAAAGAGTAAGGCTTACTGCAAAATCTCAAAGCAGGGGAATGGAAGAGCTCTCTAGAAGCCTCTAATGGCTTGGAATCACTAGCTTTTAAAGCTTTATAAACCTCTGCTATGTTAACCACCACCATTGAGAAATTCACTGTCCTTTGCACAAACTTTGAAGATGGCCTGAGACCAGCAGTTTCTGCATCATCTCCCAGCATTACATCATCACCTGATCGCAAGCACAGCTGGTTATGGTGTACCCCATCACTCATCCAACTTGACAATTCCTCAAGAGCATCCCCAATTTTACCATAACTAAACCCTCTAGAATCGTACACACAAAACCCACCTTGCAACGATCTCATTACATTGTGCTCTTCCATGTACATGGTGGTGTATTTGGAAGCGCTGCCTACATATACGAAGTCAAATTAGTTCTAATGCTACCAGAAAATGTTTCTTAGTCCACAGTTATTAACCCTTTGGAGTGTAAATGCAAACTCATGGCTGTGCCTCTGCACAATAAACTTACCAGAAGAAGTTAGAGCAAAAGGTATGAGTCCAGACCGACCAAGAACACTGTACATAAGGTTGACAAGTGAGCTCTTGCCAGAGCCAGAGAAACCCACCAGGAGAATAGTGATTACTGGTGGAATGTCCATTTCTTCCTTCTTGATACCTCCTGTGGGCACCCAGAAATCACCTGAACGATACATTTGTAGCTTGTATCTGACCTCATTGAGCCCTTCATGAGCAATCAAAGCCAGTCTCTCCAACTCTCTAAGAACTCTGACCCTTGGAGTAAGGCTTGCCATGTTTGGGATGTCAGACTTAAACCTAACACATTCATCAAACTTTGCTGCTGATCTCCACCAACAGTAACCCAGACTTGACAGTTGGTGTTCATCTTCATCACTGGATGAGTGTTGGCTCCTCATGCCTTCGTTTCAGCTCTTGAACTTCAGCGAAAAAACTGTGGGAATGATATTTTATAAGGCATATTGAAATCGACCAATTTGATTTTACCATGAAGGCACCGTTGCGAAAGACAGATCGGAAAAACAAAGGGATAAGATAATCTCTCACGGCCACAAGGCTTGTCCAAAGGTTACGGGCTGTACACCAGTTGGATGCTGCGAAGAGGCTATTTCCAGGCTCTTTCTTCCACTTGTGGAGGAGCTCGAGAACTAGCAACCCATATTTACCGAAATACCCACGATTTGCTAAGGCCCTGTAATGGTAGGAAAGAGGCAGCGTACTGCTACGTCTTGGTGCAAAGTGAGGTGCTGACAAGGTATCCGTTTGGACATTGTATGGAATATGGATAGCTAAAGAACAAAGGGTAGACGTTCCTTCTCTAGTCCAATCAACCAAGTCGTTTTCAGCCTCGACCTTTTTAGTGCCCACCGAAGCTCACGCGCTGCGGATTAGAAGAATTTCAGATTAGTTTTTCCATGAACATTAAAAAAAAACATATTTGAGTGTTTTTAAATAGGAAAAAAAAGTAATTAATTGAGAGTTAAATATTCTATAGTTAGTTACCTTTCTTCCACCTCCGAAGAATGGAGGGGGCGCGAAAGAAGCTACAAGGTAATTCTGGGTTATTGAAAAGTTGTCCGATTATTTGCTGATCAAATCAGAGAGATTCTAACCATTTTCTCTTCTCTTTAATCCTCTCAGATTGATCATCTTTAAAAAACAAAGCAAGCTATAAATAAATCTAATGAAAATTTAGGTCTTTTGAAAGATTCTTATTTCCTCTTCAGTGAAAGAGGGCTACGTCCTCCGATGTCGAATAAAATTATCCAAGGAATCGGCCCTGTGTGTATGATTTATTGATTTGATAGATTTATCGACAAAAATATTATTTAATTAAAAAAATTAAAATAATAATATATTAAATAAGTATAAATTAATTTATTAAATTTATATTATATAAAATAAATTATAAAATTTAATTTTTAAATAACCTATTATTAATTAATATAATTGAAAAATATAATTATAAAATACTTAAAAATAACTTAGATTAACCTAAATTAATCTATTAAACTCATCATCCAGGTCATAAGATCAAAATAATCTTATAAAAAAATAAATTAAAAAATACAATGAAACCTAATTTTCAATTAAACTAATATTAAATAATAAAATTAAAATTAAAAATAAATATAAAAAAAATATAAAAAATAACCTCAATCAACTCGTGTTAATTTGTTAAAATTATGACTTGGATTATAAAATAAGGATAACTTCATAGAAAATAAATTGAAAAACAACTATAATCAACCTAAATTAATATGTCAAATTCGTAAACTAAGTCATTAAACTATAATAACCCTATAAAAAAAATAAATCAAAATAAATTATGAATCTTAGTTCTCAATCAAATTATTATTGAATAATAAAATTAAAAAAAATTAATATAAAAAATAATAAAATAACCTAATTTTACCTAGATTAACTCACAAAACTCATAACTACAATCATGATATCAAAATAAATTTATAAAAATCAAATCAAAATAAATCATAAAACTTAATTTTTAATTAACTAAATGTTAAATAAAAAAATTAAAAAATATATCTATTAAAAAAAATTAAAGTTAATAAAGTTAACTTGTCAGTCAACAATATAAATTATAAAATAAAAATACTCAAAGAAAAAGCAAATCATGCACCTCAATCTCTATTAAACTAAAAAAAAAATAATCTCAATTAATTGAATTACTCTATTAAATTCATTATAGAAGTCATGAAATAGAGATAATAAGAAAGTAGATAGTAATAAATAATGCATCTTGATTTCTAATAAATCTTAAAGGAGAAAAAAAACATGAATTAAAAAAAATATTACAATAAATTATTGGTTCGCACATGCCTCTGCCATTTTACATTATCGCAAAGATTATGTCAATAATTGAGCAGCCATGCAGACAAAGGCCAATTAAGAAAATTGTACAACCATCTAGGTGGTGACCAAGTGGTAAAAACTTGAAATTAAGAGGTTTGCTCCCTCTGTGGTCTCAGATTCGAATCCTTGGTTGCTCATATGATGTCCACTAGAGGCTTACATGGTCGTTAACTTCAGGACCCGTGGGATTAGTCGTGGTGCGCGCAAGCTGGCCCGAACACCCACATTAATCTAACAAAAAAAAAAAATTGTACATGCTGGGTTTGTTTAATGCACTTGTTTGCTTATGTTAAATACATGCCTGCTAGTGTGTTACAACCAAAAGCAACATGAGCACAGTGCGCAAGGGACATCATTTTTCTTTGGATGAAAGAAAATTATGAGAAGGATATCATAGACCTCAACAATCCTGACAGCAACAGCACAGATGAGAGCCATATGTATGAGGGCATAATAAGAGATTTACTCATGAAGCAGAAAGCAATAATTGTAAATTTTATATAAAAAATTCTTCTTTTTTGTTTCACAGTCAACAAAAATCCCACCTCGAAACTGAAAATTGATGCATTTTCTAGTTTCTTTTAATCAGAATGACAATTCTGAGATATGAAAAGACCTTAAAAGGAAAGAACAAATAGCATGTTTAGTTTCTTCCTATCATTGCTCTAAATTATAGAACAGACAGATGGATGCAAGCTGTGATGAGCAGCTCCATCCTAGTGATATGGTAAAACTAGGGCATGACAAAATAATGCCCAGCAAAAGGAAAAGGAGAAAAAAAAAAAAAAAAAAAAGACTCGAAACTTTCTGTACTTTCCACCAGCAATGGCAATTCTGGGCTTCACAAACCTATTTTAAAACCTCTGTGAAAGAGAATCTCTTCGACCACATCCGAATATGAACCAGAGAAAGATCCGATGGCATTTGACTTCCCTACCCAAAAAGAAGAAACAACATTCATCGATTGAAGCAATATGAACCAGAGAAAGATCCGATGGCAATTCATCGATTGAAACCTGGACTCTCAGCTTCATTCCACCATCAACTTAGGTCCTGCTGGCACAGAAAAGGTGACACGGTACAACTTAACCTTTGCAGCAAATTATTGTGTTAAAATAATAGAAAAAGGGATGAAGGAAGTCATCCAATCACTATAATAAAATTGAAGGAACAAAGTAAAATTGCAATGAAATGTGAGTTTTAGAAAAATGTTAATTTCCTCTCAATGATACTAGATGTTTTACGAAATAGAGAGAAGCATTCAACTGCAAACATCACTCACAACTACATATATGTGTTTCGAAATTTCATTCGGATATTGAAACAGATATGTAGTCTATACGTGATAAAAAGCATAAAAAGGTTGAGACCTCCCCAGCATGCGTAGAAACCACACCAAATGGGAGCCGCCCATGACAGTTAAACTGATTACCAAAATCCTCATGCTTACACATTCCCACCAGCTGCTTGGGAAATGTCAAACCTCAATTAATGAAAAAATTATCAATAGAAAAAACAAGCACAAACAATCAAATCCCTATTACGCAGGAATTGCATAGTCTCAGGTGAAATGTCAACTGTCCAGGAGGGGTGCCTTTGCCACTTGTAAAAGAAATAGCACCTCTACTTGCGAACTAGGAGAGAGAGGTTGCATACCTTAACTGAAATTAAATCCGTTGGAAGGAACAGGAACTCCGGTACCACCAAACTGAAATCCAGATTGGGAAGCATCACCAGGAGGAAATGCCTCAAAGTCATCACCATCCTCCACACAATACGTCTCCAAAATCTTCACTGCTTTCTCATATATTTCATTGTTGTCATGACTCTGAAGGTTCTCAATCTTTTCCAAACCCTCAACATCTTCAATCATTTGGGTGTACAGATTTGCATTTCCTGTCCTTCCCAAATTCTTTTCAGCTTCCCCAACCTTTAGAATGTTCTCTAGACCATCTAAGCAAACTGTGACAATTCTAGGGTCGGGACAAATCAAAAGATCACATAATGGCTTGATGCATCCCTGGTTCACCAGAAACCTACAATGCACAAATATAATTGAATCTCTTAGCTACCAATAAATCAAATTATCTAATAAATGGAGAAGAATATCATGGAAGAGAAAATACTTGATTTGTTCATGGCTTCCACCCGATGATGCATTTGAAATTGCCCAAGCAGCTTCTTTCTTGATCTCAAATTCAGCATTTTGAAGCAATTGGACAAGAGGACCAATAATACCTGCTTCAAGTACCGCCTGTGCAGTTTGGAAATGCAATGCCCATTACGACAAATAGGTGATAAAAATCTAATAGAAAGTTGAAAGGTTTTTTAGATTATCTGTAACTGTCCTCAACATATCCTCTCACTTGGAAACAATCAAAGGATGTATATAAGTGTTCTATTGTAAAACAAACTTAGGGTACATAAAACAATCATCAACACAGCATTTCAAAGCAACTGAAAACAATCATCAACACACAGCCTTCAAAAGAAATTAGACCAGGGGACAAATAACACCAGCTTTAACTACGGCCTGCATACATTAAGATATAAACTCAAACGGAATTCATTTTACCAGATGGACTCAAAAATAGTATGAATAAATGGCCACGACAAACCCTGTAGACTCCCCTATCCCTCAAACATCTCAACTTTATAATAGTCAGTAGATTGGAGACATTATCACAAAATTTAAAGGACAAACTAAACAAATTTCAGCCAAACCATCAATACACTGATGACATAAGAGAATAGACAGGCTCACCTGTATCTGATTTACATTTCCAGCTGTGACGTTTGAGATTGTCCAGCATGCTTCCTTCTTGATGCTCTTCTTGTAATTATTTGTCAGTAAGTTCAATAGGCATGGGAGAGCTTGATGGTTTATCATACACTGGGATCAGGAATATCATAAAGCATTACATCATTGGCTCAGAATATAACAATTTCAAGTCATGCAAAAATGACACGCACACAACACATCATACCAACAAGGCATCCTGCAGATATCATCAGATAATCAATTGAAGAAAGCTAAAAACTATAAATGATATCATCTTAAGGAATTCTAAATTATATTGTTATTGTTCCCTTTTTCTCCTCTCTATGATTATTTGGATAAGTTGTTTTGAGTTCTCACATTTCATAGTTGCATATAGTAACAGGAAAAGTGTCTTTCAGCTTTTCAGATCTCTAAAATTTAATTTCTCAATAGGTTCCAATTTTTTTTTTCCTGATTAACATGCAAGATTATCAATTCTGCTAAGACACAAACGCAGACCTTCATCTCAACCAAAAATCATTATTTGTTCAAGCATGTTTCTTTCAGAAATAGAAACAAAAAGTCACTTCCTTAAAAATTAAGGCACATCTGCACACATCTCAAAAAAGAAAGTGAGAGGTGACTTCCATCAAACCATAGAATAACCTCCTGACAAGGATTAGACTACATTGTTGGGGGAGGAAACAATTTGATGTTTTGGAAATTTGGAAATGTTTTCAAATCTCAAACCACCTTCAAGTTGGTCTCAAGACAACTGGACATTCACATATAGGAAGTTTCACTCAAGTCAATGATATTAAATAAAAAGGACCACTTACTACGCTGTACTGATTGGAAACTGGAAGAGGGTGGTTGGGGGTAATAGACACCATAAAAACTTTAGACTCGTCTAAATCAGTTTCCATCAAAAGAGGCATGAAAAGTATTGACTTGATAAAATATGACAAATATTGGTTTCAAAACCTGAAAAACATAAGCAAAAGCTGAAGCTAACCCACTACATGCGATATCCTGAAAAACATAAGCAAAAGCTGAAGCTTGGGTCTACATGCGATCGTAATTGGTGCAAAACAGCATGCCAAGTTTTATGTGATAAGTTGTGAAATTGTATAGAAAATGTAAAGTAATCTAGAATAGTAGATCATGAACCATCAAGAAGAAAAATGCATTCCCATCTATAAATTTTCAACCTGTGCATCCATCTAAAATGAGCAATGCCGGCACATATAAGTATTTCCATCTGCTAAGATCAGTACCACTGTCAGAGGAATGTGTAGTTTGGTTTTAACATAAACAAAACTATGCCAATTATGAACTCGTGACTAAACCATTGAAGAGAAACCAAACAGTAAGATGAATAGACGTGGGGATGGTGAAGGGGAGAGATAATTAGGAAAATAAAGGTATAACCAATACTTGAGTCTGCATGTCATCTCCAGTAACAATATTTCCAACTGTACGTAGAGCAGGGATGAGCACTGTCGGAGATGGATGACTGAAAACAGAAAATGTAAAGAGCATTTCAACTTTCATAAGCAAATGCCAGAAATAAATAAATAAATAAATAAAACGTCTAAAATATATGAAGAGCGAACTAAATTTAAATCTCACAGCAAAAGCTCAACAAGTCGGGGGCAGACACCAGCCTCGATAACAGCCTGGATTTTTTCATTGGATCCATCTGAGAGATACGACAGAGCCCAGCATGCATCTGTGAGGACCTCCTCATCATTTGAATGTATGAGACGCTGTAGAGCTGGGAGGGCAGGTTTTGTCTGCTCAATGAATTTCAACAGCACATATATTAGCAACAATTATCAAAGTGGGGAATAAAGTATCGCAACTGCATTTAAGCAGTCCATCTTAGAAGTCAAACCTGGTCGAATAAAGGTTGGGGCTTGCCCCTGCAGAAGTTTGATAATGTCCAAGTTGCATTTCTTAACAATGAATGCTTTGCTTGGTCATTGAATTGCGCAAGCAAAGGCATCAAAGCCCCATGGCCAAGGACCAGATCACGGCATTTTGGTGAGTCCCCAGCAACATTTCCTAATGCCCAAACAGCCTATAATCCCACCAAAATGTAAACTTATCATTACTGAACCAATCAAGGAATAATTACGATGTCCACTTGAGACATCACTAAAATGAAAACAACGTAAATTCCATAAAATGGTAACATCGTCTACCTGTTCCCTGACATCATCAGCTGGAGAACTTAAGAGTTTGACAAAAATTGGGATTGCCCCATGGTCAATTACAACCCTGGTGTTTTCTGATGTCCCAGAAGCGATATTCGTTAGTGCCCACGCCGCCTCAAACTATATAAGACGTTAAAACAAACGTTAGTTACAATATTAATAATGAAGCCCGACACGAAACTAAGCGGCATAGAGCAAGAACAAATTCAAACCTGAAGCTGTGGAAAATCATCCCTTGCAAGAAACTCAACGAAGCGGGGGACAACCCCTGATTGTATAACTTCATTGATCGGAGGGCAGCGTTCAATAGAGAGCAGCTTTCGGAAATGAGTAGTTCCCTCAAGCTGCGAATGCTTGTCCTCTGACCAAACACCAGCAATCATTCCAGGAAGAGTATCTAACTGTAATCAGATTAGATTAGCAAAACCATCACCTCCATTCAAACATTCTGATTGCTAAATAATTGATTGATCCACCTATTATTAAATCGAGAGAGAGAGAGAGAGAGTACCGGCTTATCAGAAGCGGAAGAAATGTTAAGAGAGGAGGTGACTTGTTGTTGTTGTTGACGTTGTTGGGCATGAAGTCCCTCACGCCGCTTCTTAAGCAAGCTTTCTTCTCTCTTACTCTTTCGGATCTCCACCATGTTGTCCTCCCTCCTCCTCCTCCCTTCATCTGCATCCACCGCCACCTTGTACCTGTTCCTCCTCACCTCTACTCTCGCGTTCGGCCTCAACGACATGGCCTTTGGATTGTACTGAACTGTAACGTGGGTGTTTGTACAGTGAGGGAAGGGAAGAAGGGAGAGTAGAGTAGTAAAGAGAGGAATTTGGAGGGGATTCTCAGATTTTTGTTTGAATAGACAGGAGCCAGAAGTATGGCTCTATTATAGAGCTTTTTCAACTACCGGCGCCTGTGAAAGAGGGCTTGGATTTTGTTTTTATTAACGACACCTGCCATTTGGTTTTTTGAATTTGAAGGAGAGGGAGTCCTAACGGATCTCCGCCGCCATCTATCTTTAATCCTTTTCTCACCCGAGATTATATTTTATTATATCGTTCCAGTATAGCTTTGAAGCTCCATTTAGCCTGAAAGGTTAATTTAGAATCCAGCTAATTTAGAATCGGGTTAAATTAAAAAAAATAAAGAAGAAAAAACTAGTATAATTAGGTTGGTTGATCCAGTAAAACTCAATAAAAAATCTAGTTGTAACCTATTGACTTTATTAAAGATAATGTGTTTTCTATTCTATTTCCTTTTGAGTATATTTTCGAGCCCTCATTTTCTTTTGGAGTGTGTCTTCGAACCCTTATCTTATTTCTTTTCAAGTGCATCTTTGAGCTCTCAACCATTAAAAATAGTGTGTTTCCTATCCTATCTCATTTTAAATGCACCTTCGAGCTCTTATTTTCTTTTAAGTGCGCCTTCGAGTCTCATCTTATTTCTTTTTAAGTGTGCATTCAAGTACTCGATCATTAAAGGTAGTGCGTTTCCTACCCTACCTTCTTTTAAATGTGCCTTTGAGCCCCCATTTCCTTTTAAGTGTGCCTTTGAGCTCTCAACTCATTTCTTTTCGAGTGCGCCTTCGAGCCCTCGACCATTAAAGGTAGTGTGTTTCCTACCCTACCTCCTTTTGAGTGCTCCTTTGAGCCCTCATCTCATTTCTTTTCGAGTACGCCTTCGAGCCCTCGACCATCAAAGGTAGTGTGTTTCCTACCCTACCTCCTTTTGAGTGCTCCTTCAAGCTCTAATTTCCTTTTAAGTACGCCTTCGAGTCCTCATTTTGTTTCTTTTTAATTGCACTTTTGAGCTCTGGACCATTAAAGGTAGTGTGTTTCCTACCTTATCTCTTTTTTAGTGCGCTTTCGAGCCCTCATTTCCTTTTAAGTGCGCCTTCAAGCTCTCACCTCATTCTTTTTTAGTGCACCTTCGATCCCTCGACCATTAAAGGTAGTGCGTTTCTTACCCTACCTCCTTTTGAGTGCACTTTTGAGCCCTCATTTCTTTTTCGAGTGCGTCTTCGAGCCCTCAACCATTAAAGGTAGTGCGTTTCCTACCCTATCTCCTTTTTAGTGCACCTTCGAGCTCTCATTTCCTTTTGAGTGCGCATTTGAGCCCTCACTTCATTTATTTTTGAGTGCGCCTTTGAGCTCTTGACCATTAAAGGTGGTGCATTTCTTAACCTACCTCCTTTTGAGCGCGCCATCGAGTTCTCACCTTATTTCTTTTTGAGTGTGTCTTCGAGCCCTCAACCATTAAAGATAATGCATTTCCTACCCTACCTCCTTGTGAGTGCGCCTTTGAGCTCATTTCTTTTCAAGTGCACCTTTTAGCCCTCACCTCATTTCTTTTCAAGTGCACCTTTAACCCCTTGACTATTAAAGATAATGCGTTTCTTAACCCCACCTCCTTCGAGTGCATTTTCGAGCCCTCACCACATTTCAAGTGCACCTTTAAGCTCTCATCCTAAGGTTGTTTGTTAATCTACTTTTGAAGTTTTCAAGACTCTCTAAAAAGCAAAAGTTCCTTTTCGTATCTACTTTTCTTTATAAATTTATTACGCAAAGCCAAATGAAAACAATATTTTCCAATGAATTTGCATCATAAATATTATAAAAAGAGGGCAACTGTCATAACCTAATTTTTGAGTAAATAATAAAAAATAAATGGATAAAAATATATTTGAGAATGAGGTTAAGACAACACAAAATTTGAAGTTTGAGGATGGAATTATTAAAATTGAGACTCAATTGGTCAATAATTAAAGAATTAATAAGTTGGAGAATTTAATTAAAAATTTGGATTAGTTTAGTTAATAAAATCAGGTGCTTAATTAAAGAATTAATAAGTTTGAGGACTTAGTTAAGTTTTGATTTAATTAATTAAAGAAATCAGAGGTTTGATTAAAGAAATACTAGAATTGTGGGTTGATTAGAAGCAAAATTTCAAGAGATTAAAAGACTATGGACTATAATGAAATTGCAGGTTTACTTTAGAAATTTTAATTGATTTTTCTAGGGATAATTTTGAATGAATTAAAAATTAAAGATTTAATTAAGGACCAAATTGAAGAATTTAGAAATTAAGGATTGTTTTGTAAACAGTGTTATAATTTAGGGATTCGGTTGAAATTAATCCAATGGAAAAATTTAAAGAAAATTTTAATTACTTGAGATCTAATTGTTAAATTTTCAAAGATCAAGGATCAAAATGAAAATATCCATTTCTGTCGAAACGACACCATTGTTGGGTGGAACAGTCGTGCTTGTTGTCTTCATCCCGATTCAATAGGGGAGTTGAAAATCTGCAACAAATTCGATCCAATCATGAACCACGTCTCTTGCCCACGATCTAGTTCATGGATTGAATAACAGTCCTGCAAAGGTGGGACTGGTTGGTGGGCAAGTGGTTCAATCTTTATAAAAGGGAGAGCAAAAAAAAAAAATACAGAGAGAGAAAAAGAACCAACCCAGGAAAAGAAAAACAAAAATAAACACAAAGCAACATGCAAAAATTAAGAATTAAAAAAAAAACACGCAGAGAGCAGGGAAGAAAAAGGGCAGTATGCACACAAACAAGGATCGTCCCTACCATTGTTTTATCCCAGCAACAAAAAAAACAAAAGAAAACTTAACAATCAGTATCCATATCCATAGTAAATTGACATCTTCATTGTTGATTCCTTCATCATCTTAAATCTACTAAAGGATGAAAGTAGATCGTGGGCACAAGAGTGAAAGGAAAAGCAGAAGGGAAGATCTCAAGCGAACGAGAGGCACCATAGAGCTGCAAGCTTCTTCTCCATTTTCAGAAGTAGGTACGCCTGTTCTCCTCTGTTTTTTTTTTTTTGTCTTTAAATTGAGTGTGTGTAACAAGAACACTATGTAAAGGTAATTTAATTATCTTCACACAATTCGAAGCGTGCGTGGATTCATTTCAAGCGTGTGCTTGGACACAGCTTAGTCGGGTTATTGGCTTGGGCTAGTGACCAGGTAGGCTGGCTGGGCCTA